AGGGGGTAAGCGCCCTTTAACCTTCCCCGGTGCGATGCACATACTGTAGTTCATTCTATGGTTCTCATATTTTTTTATCTTCGTGGAGGGTCAGGCGGTCATGGAACAAGATGATGATTTTTTCTTTATATTCTAGACATGGCCAGTGGCACAAAAATGTAAAGCTTTTTTTCTTGGTAATGGCAAGGCACAGAACTGAATATTGGAATCATTGCAAACAATCCAAAATACTGAAATTTTAAATGATATTTTGGTGTGAAATCTAGCCTGGTTGGCCTAAATTCTATATTCCTGGTTGGGTAAACTGAGCTTGAATCTGTTTCAACTCCACAATTTCATCTCTTTGGCCTAGAAGAAAATTACATTGAACATCCCTAATATGAAAAATAATTTACCTCAAATAATCATGTTGTGAACTTTTAAGACGAACAACCTTCATCAAATAAAAAAATTAAAACACGGTTGAGCGCACGCAATCATTTTCCATCCTGCGCTGGTTGCTGTTGAGGGCACAGCCACATGTGTGAGTCAGTAAGGAATGGAACCAACAACTTCAAATTTAGCTACAACGCGGTGCCCATCATATACAATACCCTCCGCACACACACACAGCTTCGACAAGTGTCCATGGAAAACTCAGTCACAGTTGGATGTTTTAGAAAAATGGGCAGTACTAGCACAAAGCTTAGTTGGATGACGTATACCTAGGGGATTTTCAAGATTTTCTGTTTTTAAAAATCTTCGAAAAATCAGAACTTCATTTACTGGACATTTACACCCACACAAAGGACTGTCTGGTGGCTACTCTAATCTAACAGACAACATATATTGATGCCTGAGTATTTCAGCCAGGCCTGCAGCCTTGTAAAAAGAACCCAGATTGTGCGGTGTTATGTGAGTTTCTTGTTCCCGAAACTGGCACTGTGCACTGCTGGCGTCTTTTCAATAGTGGCCAGATTAGCGTGCAGCGGTATTGTATCGCTCATCATTGGAGCGCTGGAGCGCTTTGTCCCTGGTGGTAATCAGCTTGCACTGAATGCTACAAACAGTGGTATAATCTTTCATAACAGTTACGGATTTTGTCTGATATTGACAACTGAAAAAATATTGGCAATTCCCAGCAGCTCAGTCTTTTGTGCTGAGTACAGTCTTTTGTTACAAGGCCCAGCACTTTTTTCCGGTTTCAGGCTTCCTGGTTTTGCCTATGTGCCCAAAACTGGGTCCCCTGGCAGCATGTGGTTAATGTGAAAAGAGCTGTCGATCACAAGATTTAAAAGACGTGATAATTTGCCAAAATTCACTAATGGTCTGTCAGCATTATTCTCGACCACATGCCAATTTGTGGAACATGAAACATGACTGGAAAAAAGACTATGGGTATCGCAATTGGAATTGGAACTATCCCTTCAGGCAATCACTGCACTAGCAGCACAGCATTGTAAACCTTGCGTTGTTGTGGCTGAGTGAAGGTTATTGTATGTGAAGTCTGCTTGAAAGTGTGCTGCAGCCAGGAAGAATGCTTCTGTTTTAAAAATTCATAGGAATACACATATTTTGAGACAATTAGTAGCTATTACTCGCTCGGCAAGGCTATGAACACGAGTATAACGTGTGAGTGCACTTTTTCATGCAGGTACATTTATTTTGTGTTTGTAGTTTTGTTGTCTAACATTACAAGAACCTTTTGCACGTGAATTTTTTTTTTCTAAATCGATCCAGTTCCTGTCATGATAAACACAAATTCAGTGGAATTAATTTAATTAAAAAAATCACTAACTCATCTCTGTTTCCTTAATAAATTGTCAATTATCAAATGTCATTAAAATTTACAATGAGACTGGAATATGGCCAGGTGTGAGGGTGTTCTTTCACATCATGGTGCTACGCAATACTGAAGAACCAATTATTTTCCCCCATGTACTTGGCCCCACGCATTATTTTACATAAATTTGGTCATGAATGTTTGTCCCAAAAGTCACATTACCTGAGATTTTCGTCAATGTTATTTTGAGTTGCAGTCTATTACCATGGTTTTAAAAGTAGGGTCATACTTTGACCGAAAACGGATTGTGTAATTTTTATCAAAAAGAATAAAGTTGGTATAAATAGTGTAAGTTGATTAGAAATCAATAAAAGTGTGTCGAAAAATCTGATTCTCCAAAGATTGCCTATGGACAACTTTTGGAAATTTTTGTCGTGTCCTCTGTAATGTAGCCTCATGTGATGAAAATCTGCTAGCCTTAAGGGTGCAGTGTCCCAATTCAAGGAAAATTCTCCGCCAGGCCGAGGCGCAGAAAAAGTACCCCCCAGAGATTGTTTCCAAAAGAGGTGTCTGTTTGGGCCAGGAAA